CCCCAAAACCCCAAAACCCCAAAACCCCTGAAGGTTAGAATAAGCAAAGTTTAAAATAATGAGTAAATCAATATGTAATTTCTGAATTAGGATAAAGCTTAATTAATAAATTGATTACTGAGAGAGCAGATTGAATATGCCTTTCATTTTAAATTATAAGGAGATTATAATATAACATTGCTCAAATTAGTCTAAATTTTTCAATTATCCAAGCGCAATCAATGAAAAACAAATTTGATAATATTCGAAACCACGAATCATTGTTTACTTTTAAGGGCTAGTATTCGAGTTTAGAAATTCCAACTGAAAGAAAAAACTTAAATAATCATAGCAAATTATCAGACAAAATTTAAATAGTGGATTTTGTCAATATGGATGATGAGTAGTATGATGATGTGACAAACTATAGAAATTCTGAGGGACTTCAGTTGTTGATCCGAGCTGTGCACCAAAACAGTCAAAAATTTAAGAGTGTTCTACAGAGGGTTTATCAAAAGATGGATATAAGATAGACCTCCTTGCTTTATGCTTTAATCATTTCTTTGAGAAGAAAAGCTTTCTTGTAAAGCTTAAATCAGTTGGAAATAAAAGATGGTAACAAAAATACAGTTTTCTAAGACATGAAATACGTATGTTAATAAGTTGGTCAAGATAATATTTACTCATCAAGTAGAATCGAAATATGACAAATATTTAATGATGCTGCAGGCTATTTGATTAAAATCTAAGATACTGAGAGTTTTGGAGAAATCGCCAAGCATGCAGCTAAAATGTACTTCTATCTCCATATCAAATATGAAGATATCTATGATCTCCTTCAGATTCAGAACTTTGAAATGATTAAGCTAATGCTGAAGTATAAAGTAATAGTTGAGTATCATAAATAACAACTCCACAGAAGAAACTTTGATTTCGCTAAGCGAAAGTCATTTTCATTAGTATAGATACCAGTTGGAATTCCGGACTAAACTAAAAATGAAAAGTTTGAGAAAATATTCAAGACCTCGGACATAATTGAAAATATACTAACCATATTTATCTAGCACAATTATAATCACTCAGCACTTCAAGATCGTATCTTAAGTGTAATAAAAAATCTTTAAGATTAGCTGGACTATCAGAGAATAATTCGCGTTTGCTGGGATAATAAATTGAAAAACTTGCTTGACTTTGTAATAGATCAACCATTTATTGAAGAGACCATTAAAAAAGATTTTACAATTGAGTCAATCAACTATTATCTGCAGATAAACTAGCTTGATTAGTGTGCTATAATAATCAAAGATTTTAGATAATATCTAAAAGGCAAAGAATCCTAAGCTCTGGATTATATAATTTACAGTTTCAAAACTCCATCTTTCATGGAATTTAAAATATTCCTTATTTCATAACTCTTCGACTATCTTAAATACAGATAGGTTGACTAAATTATGAATGAAATAGAAGCCAATCTTGATGATTAGACATCAATAGCACTATTCTCCCAAAATTTAAATCCAATCAAAATAGGAATGAGTTTAATCGACTTAATGTTTAGGATCCAAAATAAATTTAAAATTGCAACTTTTAGAACAGATAAAATAAATGGTTTATTAGAGGAGCAAATTCAAAAAATTATCAAAGATATCTAAAACTCAGATGAACTTAAATATTTGCTAAAACAGAAAGATCTTTTGGGCAATGACAGTTTATACTATATGTCATTGCATAACGTTTACTCTATCCTAGATACTAAGTCAACTGATAGGATAATATAGGATTTTTGGAAAAGTAACATAGATGTAAATGGAAATCTTTGGGCTGCGTCGACCAGCTTTAGAATATTTGAGTAGAGTGTCTGGCAAGGCGAAATAGACTTAAGTAATTTAAATATAAAGAAATCTTTCGATTAAGCTGATAAGCTTAAATTACATAAGTATTAGTATCAAATTTGGAAGAAATCTATGCAAGTGAGATACTTTTTTGAAGCCCTAACATTTTTGGGAGCAGCAATTTTTTTCCAAATTTATATCACTAATTTCAACTTTGATATAAACACAACAATTAATTACCTATTAGTTCTTGATGGAGATCATAGTCATATATCGAAGTAAGAGTATGAAGAGATTGGAGTGAAATATAGGTATTATATGTTCTAAGCAGGTGAATACATATACACAGCTATGATAGTTTCAATTCTTATGCTTTCATATCCAATCAGAATGTTCTAAACCTGGCTATTTGCTAGATTCTTGAATAGAAAATACGTAATGCTAAAAGCAATAAATTTGATTGAGATTGGTTACACTATATGTGCTTTATTATGGCTCTACAAATATGCTGAAACTACTGGATTCATTGATGATCCTCATGAATTTGATAGAGGATTTGATAAGAATACTTTGTTCGTCCATAATTAAATAGAAGAAATTAATTTTGGGACATTTAGGTTCGATATTTTGATATCAGTTCAAACAGGGTTTATGTGGTTGAAAGTTATGCTCTTGCTAAAATTAACTAGATCTTTTGGTCCTCTTTTGAAAATTATTGAGAGAATGATATAGGATTTTATGTACTTCACTGTTATTTGGGGAATCAACTTAGCTTTCTTTACCTTTATGGGAATGCTTTTGTTTACAGAAATACCATTATTTTAAAGTATGACTGATACATTTATAATGCTAATATAAAGTTCATTAGGCTAATGGAATCTTGATATTTATAACGAACTTATAATAGGATCATTATATGGAAAAATTTACTAGATCTTCTTTCTTATTGTTAATTTGATTCTTCTAATAAATCTAATGATTGCAATTTTGTCTACTACTTTCTCTGACTTGCATAACCTGTAACTAGCTTTGTATTATGATGAAATAATAGAAGCAATTCCTTAGTATAAATACGATAAAGTCTATGGATCATTAATTTGTGGAACTCCTCCAGTAAATATTATCATGCTCCCATTCACAGTTGTTTACTTACTTTTTAAGGATATTGATAAACTGACCAAAATCAACTCAATGCTAGTAAAAATTGCCTATGCCCCAAATATCTTTGTATTAACTCCTATTTTTATGATTGGAAATATATTTTTTATTCCTTTCGGATATTTATGTGGCACTTTTGCTCTGATTAGATAATTGTGTAGAGATAGAAGTAAAGCTCTATCAAAAGCATTACTTGAAATTGTATTGTTCATAATATTTGCTCCAATTGTACTGATTGCTTCTTAATTAACAGACATCTTTGTTTTTCTAAAGCATTTATTCTCAAGAAGAAATGAAAAACTCTCTCATTTTTAAAAGCCATGCATTTCAAAAAGTGTAGTTCAAAAGATATACCTAATGGCTTAAGATATGGTCAAGAAAAATAAAGATTTCTTAAGTTAGGTATAATTAGTAAAAGAGCTCAGAGACACTCTTGGCATTGAAAATGATATAATGCATTTAATATATGGAGACTCATTGGCTAAACAAGAGGAGAATGAAAGAATAAGAGAGACTGAGACTATCAAAATCAATCCTATAAAGAGCAAAGATGAATCCCTTATAGACTTGAAAATATTCAATACAATAAAATGCGTTATAAAGAATTGTACTAATGAGAATGGGTTAACTAATGTAAAATTATTGCATACTCTTTTACAGGAGGTTTAATAAAAAATAAACATTCAGAAAAAGTAGCATCCATTCATATTAAACTTAAAAAAAACTCTTAGGCTTAGTCCTTCAAAATTAAACAAATCAACATCGAACATTCAAGGTGATAACAGCAAAATAAAGATGAAAAGAAGAAATTAGAATTAATTCATTAGTTTCTAAAAGAAATTGATGGTTGAATTCTCTTTTTCTAATCCTAACAGAGTAATATAGTCTCTTAAGGATGTTTAGAATGAAATGGCTCTAAAAAATCAAGTATGTAAATCTTAATTTCGTATTTAACTAAATATTTTAGAAAATTCTTAATGACTTGACTAGAACTACAGAGCTCATCCTAAAGTTTCAACGATCTAAAAGTTAATCAACTACCTTAACCAACATTAAAAACTCTTATCACAGAAATTATGGGAATCAAGAAACTGTGCTTGGTGTATAGGAGGAAGACTTTATTATTCCACAGATTAAAATTAATAACTAGACGGAGGAATCCCATGTAATCAATGTTTTATTAATTAGTATTGTAGAAGAGTTAATGGGATGATATAAGTTAATTCTATGTAGAATCAAATGATTCAGATTTGGAATAATCTATAAATTGAAAAGATTTTTTAGCTTGCTTTTAGTTAAATTTGAATTGAAATTATTGAGATTTAAACTCAAGATATAATAAATTTTCTTAGAAGCTTTGAAGATTATTTCATATTCAGTAATATTTCAAGAATTTTGATTACATTACTATTTGAGTTTGGGGTTTTGGGGTTTTGGGG